CCTTTTGATGAAGGAAACTTAGACGCAAAAAGGGCAAGTGATGTCACGAGAATGTGTTGCTGTTTTGTGTTAGCAAATGTGGCTATGTTGATTTGAACAAATATACCAACGCACTATAATCCCCATTTACTGTGAAAACGAATAAGCATGATGTTTCTTCTCTTTGATATTATTTCGTTTGTTGTTTTCCCGTTCCCCACAGTATCAAACAGCATCATGAATAGACCTCTCAAAGCTCGATGTTTCGTCATTATAGCTGCGCCTGTTGTTGCGTTTCTTCACGACAGCTCTTTCCGTAATCACGTCCACATTCATCATCTCTGCGCCAACACTTGTCGCTCACAGAGAGGTGTAATTTCATGAACGCATGTCGAGCCGATCAAGGGTATTATTTTATAGAAATCCACTTCCACGCCGAGATTTTCACTGTAGAGGATTGTGTAAAAGCTGCAAGATTAGTCTGAAGAATATTTTGCAAACAACAAAATTCAGTGTTCTATTGAATGCGAAGACAGTGTTTACAAATGCAATATGAATAGTTACGTTTGTCAGTTTAATCTAGTTTGATTCTCACTAATACAGGTTTGAAAAGGGGTTGGAAGAATATGTAGAATCAGGTATTTAAATATTTTATCATTAGAAAATCCCATGTAGGGTGCATACTTCCACCAAGAGGCGCGGTTACGTCTTTTTAAACAAACCCAGACCTCCAAAATATACACATTGCTACATTTCTACGGTTTCTCGAAAATGTCCTAAAAATCTGCCCATAACATTTTGAGTTATGATACAAACATAACGGTTTGGCGGCACGGTGGCTGAGTGGATAGTACTCTCGCCTCTCAGCAAGAAGGTCCTGGGTCGGACCAGGGCCTTTCTGAGTGGAGTTTGCATGTTCTCCCTATGTCTGCGTAGGTTTCCTCCGGGTACTCCGGTTTCCCCTACCACTAAGAACATGTACAATAGTTCTGGCATGCGCCTCCTGTATGCGACCCCGCTCCCATCTCTGTGTGGAGTGAGAGACAAATGCCCAAAAAAATAACAATTGTAAACTGGTTTGTGACTCTGGTCTGTGAAAGGCGGTATATAAATAAAGATTACTTACTTACTTACTTAAACAGACAGATAAACTAACCCTGCTGAAAAAATAACTCCTTGCCAGATGGGCCAGAAGTAAAAACCATCCAAGCCCAAGTAAATAGAACTAAACGTATTATTTGAATATTAAAGCAAAATCTTAAATTCACATAATTTTATATCATCAAGAAACTGCATTTTGAACAAATTTCAATTGATTTAATGTGTCACTTTATGGAGGTGGAAAATCCTTCATATCTCCCAGGGAAAACAAAATATATTAAAAAAAACCTCATTGAAAAATAATAATTATAATAATCATATAGTGTCATAAAATTATTCAGTGAAAATGTTGGAGTTTTGCATTGTTTAGGCTTTAAAAAATTAAAAAAAAAAAACTCAATAAAACATTTTTTTTTCCTTAAAAAAATAACTAAACTGATATTCTGATATTTTTTGATCTCTCAGCTCACACACAAAGCCGTGCTCACCCTGGTCCCCTCCGGAGCCGTCCTGAAAGCCACAGTACTGGTCCATTTCTAGGTGGTTGGGCGGGATCTTCCGGTGGACAAAACTGTGCGGGTATTTCTCGGCCGGACTGTCCAGCTCCTGCCCATCCTCGTACACGTGTTTGAGCACTCGGCCACTGTACGAAGACGCCAACTTGAAACGCACCTGGAAATGAAGAACAAAAATATTGAGTTGGATTTTTGAACGTTCTCTGTATTTGAATGCTTTGTAAACGGTTGAGATTGGAACTCAAACTGGTGTTTATTTATCTCATAATGAAATATTTCACTGAAAATAAGGTCCAGGAAATTGATAGTTTTAGTTTATCAATTTTCTGATCAAAAAAGGAAAGTAAATTGAAGAAGTTTATTCCATCAGTGAGATTATAGAATCCAGTACCAATCTCATGTCACATACAAGATTTGCATTGTAATATCAGTAACTTGTATTGTGGAACGTTTGCTTATTTGTGGCAACCTTTAGAGCTTAGCAGGGCAGGACCTGGTGAGAACCGAGATGGGAACGCCAGGTGCCACAGTGGAGTGACTGCGACTGTAAAGTGCCAAACTGTTGCTGTGTCTAAAAATCAGATTTGTGGAGAAGCAAGCCCACTCACATCATTCATGTTGAACCAGGGAATTATTTTAATCAATGTGCATGTAATTGAAATGCATTATACATAATTTAGAATAAGGGCTGGACACTCACAGCTGGCGAGTGTGCAATCGTGTATACAGTATATGCCTAAATGTAACTTTTGACATTCTCAAAAAGCTATGAATATCTGTACTTTTCATCGACTAATGTTACATTATTTTGGATTAATAATACATATTAAAAAGAATTAAGAAGCCAGTACTGTGTTGTGAGATCAAAGTTTACAGTATTGACAATGTGGCCACTCATCCCAACGTTAAGAAGGTAAAAAGACAATTATACACACACACACACACACATGCATACATACATACATACAAACATAAATACATACAATAATAAACACTAGAAACAATAATAGATTCTTAAGATTGACTTCCTCTGCAGTCCCACTATACCTTTCTAGGGTTTGTGTTCTCGTAACGCTGGTCGAGTTTCCTCTGAAGCTCATCCATGGCTCAGCCGGACTTAGAAGTGAAAGACCAAAGCAAATGATTCAGTCCATCAGCGCCTCTTGGACCAGACTCTGCGACTCCTCCGATCAAAGTATCTCTGGATGGTAAGAAAAGAAATACACAAAAAAGAAACCCTTCGTCCTGCTTACCACAACATGAAGGACTTTTGTGTGCACTGACTTGTCGCTGGGACTAAGCTGCAGTTTTGGTCTCCCACCTCTCCATCTCCACACTTAATTATTGACAGCAGGATCGTATATACAAAGACAGCAGCAGCAGGGGAAACCAGAAGCTCTGTCATCAAATAATAATGGGCGCAGGGGAGTGTGAGTTATGAGAGTGCTAAAAGTCACTGTGACGTTTGCTAACTCGTTGTTTAGCTGTCGTTTCCTTCATATCAGGTGAGGATTTCCTTCTTCTTGCTCTAGTATTAGGAGTAACCAAGCGATAGTAAGGAGAATGTATCAAAAAACGCATGCCATATACATTACTTTATAGGCCTATTTTACTGTTATAAACTGTTATCAAAATAGTTTGTAGTCGTGTTATGCTTTTTAGACAGTCTTTAGAGATGGTATCACAGTATAAATGGCCATATACGGCTATCAAAGCCTAGTCAGATCTCTTTCTGTAATAGGAGATCGCTTGGAATGGGTCCTGTGGCTCTAAAGAAAAACAAAATAAAATAACTTCTACTGTCTGACACTCTACCAAAATTGCCCAGTATGAGCCTGGTGAGTGAATGATTGTAGGTACTAGAAGCCCCAACGCGAGAAGCCCTGTTTCTACCAGCCCTACGGCAGAACCAGCCCTGATGCTAACCCACTAGCTCGATGAAGCTAGTGCCCCAACTCGCTCTGGCTCCCATTGACTTACGCTGAAAAGTAAACTCCTCTAGCTCAGTGACTGCTCATGTTACTCTCACGATTTTGGGGCTTAACAAATATAAGGATTAGCACTCTCTCTGACCCTAGGTTTTGTATTATGATTTGGACATTGTGAATCCATGTGAATCCATCTAGGAGCCATAAGGAGCTTCTCTGTTGTCTGTTGTCAGGACAGCGGTGGATTTGTCAATGAGCAGCGAGCCTTTATTTGTTATATAAAGTAGAATAACGTTGTTGTAGGGCTTCAACAAAACATGTTCTGGGTTCACCACAGACTCATGTAAAAAATGAATGAAGTTTAGATTCATTTTTAGTGGTGTGACATGGCGGACGGTGCTGCTGCTCGCGCTGCTGCTCCTACTTTGTGTCGCTCAAGGCTAAAACCTGTAATCTACAAGACTGTGGATGGTAAAACTATTGTGGAGGATGAGCTCCTAAACTTTCTTGCTGTGAAACTGAGAACCTTAAGCCAGGATGAGATTGTGTTACTGGCAGTGAACACGTTTAACACTGAATCGATAGAGGCCTCCAAGAAAGTATTGTTTGAGCTGTGCCAAACTACGCAGCGCAATGTTGTGCATAAGGGCGCGCATAAGGACATAAATAACATCAAGAGCTGTCTGAAAGTTCTCAATGAATGCGGGGAAGATGTCCCACGTTTTGTATCGCATTACTTGGAGGATTTGCCCCCTGTGACATTCACTAACATGGATGTCTGTGCCCTGCTCAAGAAAATGGAGCAGCTTCACTCTGACATCGGTGCCATGCGTTGCGCGCTTCAACTCCAGGGGGAAGTGTGTGCGGATCTCCGTGTGATCACCGCGGATGTGAACCGCCGGGTGTGTAGCCTGGAGTGTACAGGGGAAGAAACCCAGAAAAGTGAAGTGTTGTGTCGCCGGGACCTCCGGGTCGGTCAGGCGTGCGTCACAGAAGTGGCGCTGACTGGTGGTCGGGACAATATCGGATCTGCGCTAGTGAACCGGTCCGGAGGCAGCAGCTCGGAGGCCGCTCCAGTGACCACGGAGACTACCAGCGGTAGCCTCAGTGCTGTCCGTGTGGATGGGAGTGACTATGCACACAGCAGCGGAGGCAGTGATGAGGCGAATGCTGACGGGGGAACAACACAATTGCCTGGATCCCCAAAGTGGTCCACCGTTCTAAAAAGAGGAAAGCCGCACCCTGGTGGAAAAACGGGAACCCGACATACCTCTGTACCTGGACTGCGGAAGCCAGGTAAAAGTGTCGTTATTGTGGGTACAGGCGCGGCTGGCCACCAAATCAATACTGTGACGACGAAGCTGGTGAGTGTTTTCGCCTCCAAATTCTCGCCTGACCTAGATGTAAAGACATTGTCTGACTATCTTCAGGAACAGCTTGACCGTGAAGTTATGTGTCAGAAAATAGCCACAGCTAACAGTAGATTTTCTTCATTTAAAGTGACTGCTGAGTGCAATGAGGTGGCGGAGATGTATAAGCCCGAAATCTGGCCTGTGGGTGCTTATGTGAGGCGCTTTTATGAGCCACGCAGCGGCAGGGCTGGAGTTTCTGGCTCAAATGGTGGTACCCTGGGTGGGTTGAAGAGTGGGGCTCTGTCGGCCAATGTCACTGAGACTGATTGAAACGGGATATGGGTGTGAAAGTACTGTCATACAACTGTCGCGGTCTACGCTTGGGCCAGAGCGTAGAGGATAGAGCTCGTCGGTTAGTGGTTGACCACCTGTTAGAGCAGTGCGATGTGCTGTGCTTGCAGGAGACATTTCTGACCAAGCAGGACTTGGAAGGATTAAATGTGTTGCATGATAACTTTCACGGGGCAGGAGAGTCCACCGTTGACATTAGTAGTGGAATTATACGCGGGCGCATCCCTGGAGGTGTAGCGATTCTTTGGAGCAAACGACTTGACTCTTGCGTCACTGTGAATAGACTTGAAGTGGACTGGTGTATTGCAATACATTTAACTCATGACGGCAAGGATTGTGTTGTTCTGAATGTGTACACCCCGTTTGAATGTCATCTTAATGAAACTGAATATCTTAATAGGCTTGCTTTTATGAATTCCTTTATCCAGGATAACAAGTGTTCTAATGTGTTTGTTATTGGTGATTTTAATGCTGATATTGCTGATGGAAGGTCACTTTTTGCTAATCACTTAAACCAGTTTTGTGAGGATAATGGGGTCATTCTGTCATCCAAAGTCCATCTGCCTGCTGATAGTTTTACATATGTTAGTGAGGCATGGCATACAACCTCTTGGTTGGATCACTGTCTTGCTACAGCTGATGCACACGCCTCACTGACAGACATGAACATTTTTTATGAGCTAGCTACAACTGATCATATACCTTTTGGGATTGAAATTAATTTTCATGCTCTGCCTTTGACAGTAAGTCATGACAATCAAAGTAGTTGTTACGTGGACTGGAATTCTCTTACACAAAAGGAAATAGTATCCTATTGTGTGCGTTCAGAGAGCCTACTTGGTAACATCTATATGCCTAGAGAAGCAGTCATGTGTAGAGATAGTATGTGCCGGAACCCTGAACATATTTCAGCTATTTGTTCTATATATGATGACATAATGAAAGCACTAATTGTTTCAAGCAAATCATTACACACATGCAAAGTTAAAAAGAAAGTTAAACCTGGATGGAATGCTCATGTGGCTGAATTTCATACAAAGGCACGTGAGGCATTCTTTGAGTGGACATTGGCAGGAAGACCAAGATCTGGGCCAGTGTTTGAGCACAAAAAAGTCACCAATGCTCAATATAAATATGCTCTACGTTACATCACAAAATATGAGCAAACAATGAAAGCTGACTCAATGGCCAGGAAACTGCAGTGTAACAATGCATTTGAGTTCTGGAAAGATGTCAGAGCCATGAAAACTAAGGTTTCCTTGCCATGCGTGGTTGATGGTATCTCTGGCACTGGTAATATATTGGAACTGTGGCGGCAACATTACGCTATGTTATTTAATTGTGTTCGAGTGACCCTCATTGTGTTGATGATGTTGATAGTTCAGATGCTATCTTATGTCAAGATGTCATCAAAGCTATTTCAAATTTGTCAGATAATAAAGCCAATGGGGCAGATGGTGTTTCAGCTGAGCACTTAAAGTTTGCGAGTGCAAGGTTAGCCCCTTTGCTCTCCATCTGCTTCACAGCTTTTTTTGCCCATGGGTTTTTGCCTGATTCCATGCTTACTGTCTTGTTAGTTCCTGTTTTAAAAGATAAAGCTGGCAAGATTGGCTGCTCAGACAATTATAGACCAATAGCATTGGCCAGTATTGTGTCTAAAATCGTTGAATCAATTTTGCTGGACAAAATATCTAAGTTTATTTTGTCGTCAGATTGCCAGTTTGGTTTTAAAGCTAAGCTGGGCACAGACATGTGTATATATGCCCTCAAAGAAATTATTGCTAAATATAAGGGTCAAAACTCCTCAGTTTTTATGTGTTTTTTAGATGCCTCTAAGGCTTTTGACAGAGTTAACCACAGGAAATTATTTATTAAACTAATTCAGAAAGGTGTTCCCAAATTCATTGTGCGGATCTTGATCTACTGGTATGCTCAGCAAAAGATGCAGGTTAAGTGGGGGAACAGTGTGTCTGCTCCATTTAAGGTCAGCAATGGGGTCAGACAGGGGGGCATAGTATCCCCGATTCTCTTTAACTTATATCTGGATGATCTGTCTACAAGACTTAAGGCTTGTACTACTGGATGTATAGCTGGTAACCTTGTGTTAAATCATTTGTTGTATGCAGATGATCTTGTTGTGTTCAGTCCCACTGCTGGGCTGCAACAGTTACTTAACATTTGTTCAAGCTATGGCCTGGAGCATGACATTAAATATAATGCAGTGAAAAGTTTGGTTATGATCTGTAGAGCCAAGGAGGATAAGAAAACATCATATCCTGATTTTTATTTGTCTAATGCAAGGCTTCATGTTGCAAACAAAATAAAATATCTTGGGCATATATTGACAGAAGACTTGTCTGATGATGCTGACATAAACAGGCAATGTAGAAGGTTGTATGCCCAGGCAAACACGCTGGCGCGTAAATTTGGCTTTTGTACGGACAAAGTGAAAATGATGTTGTTCAAATCATAT